CGACGCGGGGCTCGAACTCACGGACCGTGAGATCGTGACCTGAGCTGAAGTCGGACGCTCAACCGACTGAGCCACCCAGGCGCCCCTGGATTGGCAATTTTAAAGAGCATCAGAATATCCAAGGACAACTTAAGCTAAAAGTATATTAAGCAGGTATCATTTCATTCTTTTTTAAAAATTTATTTATTTTGAAACAGAGAACACACACACGCAGAGAGAGAATCCCAAGTAGGCTCTGCACTGTCAGCACAGAGCTCAATGCAGGGCTCGAACTCACGAACTGTGAGATCATGACCTGAGCTGAAATAGAGTGAAACACTTAACCGACTGAGCCACCCAGACGCCCCTATAATTTAATTCTTAATGATCCAGAAGACATGTAATGATTTCGTATTGTGAACCTCAGCTTCTGACCCATTTTTCATTTTTAAATTCAATCTACGTGGGTTTTGGAAACTGTTACCATATTTCAAACATTTGCAAAGGCAGGTCTGCTCTTTTATACAAACACACACATACACACTACGGAACAGCTTTCTTGAGATACAATTCACATACCACACAATTCACCCATAAACTGTACAATTCAAAATTTTTAATATATTCACAGTTGTGTAACCATCACCACAATCAATTTTAGAACATTTTCATCACCTTGAAAAGAAACTCCATATATATGGGCAGTCATGTTCCATTCTACCCCCCCATTCCCAATACTCTCAGTCCTAGAAAATCACTAATCTAAGTTTCTATTTCTATTGATTTCCCTGTCCTAGACATTTCATATCAATGGAATCATACAATCTGTGGTTTTTTTGACTGACTTCTTTCTTTCACTTAGCACAAAGTTTTATATACCTATTTGAAATTGTGGTAAAATATACGTAACATAGGGGCAGTTGGGTGACTCAGTCAATTAAGCATCCAACATTGGCTTAGGTCATGATCTCGGGGTGCAGGAGTTCAAACCCTGTGTCAGGCTGTGTGCTGACAGCTCAGGGCCCGGAGCCTGCTTCGGATTCTGTGTCTCCCTCTCTCTCTGCCCCTCCCCTGCTCATGCTCTGTCTCTCTCTCTCTCTCTCTCAAACACAAAAAAATAATAAAATCTTTAAAAAAACATACATCACATACAATGTACTATTTCGACCACTTTAAGTGTGCAGTTGAGCGGCATTATGTACATTCATTTAAAGACTTTTTTTAATGTTTGTTTTTGAAAAAGAGACACAGAGCATGAGTGGGGGAGGCACATACTTTTAGATATATGCAGTTAAAGTTCAGTACCTGGGGATGGAAGAAATGCATTAAAAACTTAAAAATGGCGGGGCACCTGGGTGGCTCAGTCGGTTAAGCGTCCCAACTCAGGTCATGATCTCATGGCTTGTAAATTCAAGCTCCACATCGAGCTCTCTGCTGTCAGCACACAGCCTGCTTTGGATCCTCAGGCCCCCTCCTTTTGTGCCCCTCCCTTGCTTGTTCTCTTTCTCTCTCTCCCAAATGAATAAATTTAAAAAGTTTTTTTAATTCAAATGGATTATTAGGTTTTCACTTATTTGCAGTTTAACCAACTTAATAGCTGAGTATTGCACCCAAACTCTAGGCAGAAAGAATATGTAAATTCAAGTATGTTTATCACTCACGATTTCAGAGCAAAGTCTCCCAAATTGCTGTAAGAAATCCTCTGTTGTTATCTCTCCCCTCATAAATTTCATCCAGGGCCCCTTTTCACCACCTGAGATAAAGGCCTGCAGTATAGTTCCAGGAGGGATATCATTTTGTAGCTCCCATTCTATAGGAATTAAAATTTGCAATAAGTGAAATACATTCAGAGATGGCTGGGGTTTGGAAAGCTCAGGGGAATTACCACCAGTCCCTGCGACGCTGCTGTGGTCCCAGGGGGGGATTCTCACGGGAATTAGGAGAAACTGAGGAAATGCAAAATCTCAGCCTTAGACCCCAAGGCAACAGTGATATGGAGGGGACACTGCTGTTAAGCATCAGGTCCTTACCCTCTACTTGACATGACTCTGGACACTGCATTATGCATTTTCTTCCCTGCTCTCATCAGCTGCCTCATGTACCTCAGGTCGCTCATACACTCCTGGCACGTAGTAAGAAAACACAAGCATAATAAGCCACGTTCGGACAGCACACCAAAACAGGCCCTTCATTTTGTAAACTGGAGTCATCCTCTGTGGCACCAGAACTGCTACGCTGAAACATTCACTTGGGGGATGCGGTCTTTGCAGAATAAAGAAGAAATTTTCCTTTTTTTTTTTTTAATGTTGATTTTTATTCTTGAGGGGTGGAAGGAGAGTGCGAGCAAGGGGCAGAGACAGAGAGAGAATCCCAGGCAGGCTCCACACTGTCAGCACAGAGCCCGACACAGGGCTCGAACTCATGAACAGTAAGATCATGACCTGAGCCAAAATCAAGAGTTGGATGCTCAACCAACTGAGCCACCCAGGCGCCCCTAAAGACGATTTCTATCCATAAGAAGTTCAGGCAGTGGATGGATCAGCATTTGTGTGTACGGGGAGTCTTTGGACAGAGGCTGCTTTTTCTTGTACCAGGTTGTGTTTTCTTTCTAAAATATAGCTGCTATGGGGCAAATATATATGTAGCAATCGTAAGTATTTCTAAGACATAATATACTTTACACATTTATTTTGTTTTGATAAAGTAGGGCCTGTGCATTGAAAATATTTGACAATATAGAAAAGTATAAAAAATAAAGTTAAATGACAAGCAATCTCCCTTAGAAATAATCAATGTTACTAATTTGATACATGTTCTTTGAGAATAGCAAGACTTAAAGCTCAATCCAAATAATCCTACTTATTTAATTTGAGAACTAAAATGTGTAACATTTTTTATGGTCTCAGAATTGGCAAGCATGTAAGGAAACTGGCACTCTTGTAGACTGTTGATGGGAGTGGAAAGAAGAACAACCTCTATGGAGAGCAAAATTTTAAATATACGTTTGATGTAGTAATTCCTCTTCTAGGAATTTCTCCCACATATATATTTATAAAAGTCAGCAAAGATTATGAACAAGGCTGTTTGTGCAGAATTGCTTATGATGAAAAGAGCCAGGAATTTAAACACATGTTAGTAAATCGCTTGTTACATCAACTTTGATACATCCATAGAATGGAATACCATACAGGTGTATAAACTAGACCAAGGATATGCAAAATACGGCCTGGGAACCAAATCTGTCTCCTATCTGCTTTTGTATTCATGTACTACTGTCTATCACTGTTTTCTTGCTCCAACAGGAGAATTGAGCAATTGTGACAGATTGTGTTGCTTGCAAAGCCTACTTAACCCTTTATACAAAAAGCTTGCTACCTAAAACATACCTTGATAAAGGATGAACTGACCTGGGAACATGCTAGACAGGGACACTCTACCCAGGGAGGAGGTCAGAGAGGCTTTCACAGAAAAGAAGTCGTTTTTTTGTAGTTGTTTGTTTGTTTGTTTTTTAAGTTTATTTATTTTTAAGAGAGGGGGAGAGAGAGAGCGCGCACATGAGCATGCACAGGGTACGGGCAGAGAGAGGGAGACAGAGAAAATCCCAAGTAGGCTGTGCACTGTTAGTGCAGAGCCCAATGCAGGGCTTGAAACCACAAACTATGAGATCATGACCCAAACCAAAGTTGGACACTTAACCAACTGAGTCACCCAGGTGCCCCAAGAAGTCTTAAAATCAATATTAATAACCACCACAAGATTTATTGAGTGTGCAAAATACTCCAGGCACTGTGCCAAGTAATATACTGTTTAGGTCACCATCAAAAGTACAAGTAGGATTTGAACAGGCAGAGGAGGCAGGGAAGGGTGGCTGCCAGCAGAGGGGAGAGAACTTGCAAAGACACAGGAGTGTAAAGGTGTTCGGCAAATTTAAAGAACATTAAGCAGTCCACAGAGGCTGAAATGTGGGAAATGCTATGGTACATGGACACGAGGGCTAATTTGCAAGAGGCCTTGGATACCAAGCGAAAGCTTCTGGGCTTAATCTAAGGGACAAAGCACAGGCACTCGAGGATTTGAAGCAAGGGAGGGAAGGGATGGGATCTGCATCTCAGAAATGTAACTCTGGGGGCTGCATGGAAGGTGGTACAAAACCCAGAGGGCCAGAGGCAGAGAGAAGAGTTAGGAGGTTCATGTGATGGTGCAGGTAGGAGACGGTAGGGTCCTGAACCTGGGCCGAAGCAGAGGGAGTAAAGCGAATAGGTTCTCAAGATATTCTGGAGAAAGCTGAGAAGACTCCTGTCCAGTGATCTTTGTTTTCTGTAAAAGAAGAGATTCAGCTGTCTTCCAAGTATGAAGGCTTGGGTGGGGGGAGTAGGAGACTGCTGGGAGGTTGGAACAGCCCTGTGGCAAATGCCAGAGGAATATGAGCAGAGGAATAGGGAGGCTGAGGGACCAGCTGCAGCAGGAGCTAAAAAATTGCTCACCAAGTCAGTTTGCTTAGCTGGGTAACGCGAAAAGGAAAACCTCACTAAAATGAAGTCAGGACGCCAGAAGGGGGAGCTCGCACGCCCTTCCAACTCCGTCAATGACAGACACCAACAGAAGAATCTCCAACAGGAAAGGATGGTGAATTACTGGCCCCAACAGGAAAAAAGATGTATGCTGAACTGACTACCCCACCAGCTCGGCTAATGAGAAACCATCATCACCATGAACTCCTGCCTTTCTCCAATGGACTTTTGTTCAAAACAAGCCCTCCCAACTTCCTCCTCCTTCTCCATAAAATGTTCCTCTCCTTTGTTTGTTGGACTAGCCTATGGTTTTGACCAAAGCTAGCTTGTCCCAAATTGCAATTCTCCGCTATTCCCAAACTCATTTTTGCTGGTTAAATAACTGTTTCATGTTTAACGTCAATAGTAATTTTTTTTTACCCAGGGACATATAAAACCTGTACTTGGGTTGGTTTAGCATGGAGAATCGCCCAACCAGCTACCATAGAGGTCAGCTCTTTGGCCCCTTTTTATTCCTGCTGGCTGGAATGAGAATGTGATGGCAGGAGGTAATGCAGCCAAGATAGATCAGGAGGTGAAACTGAAAATGAAGAGTATTTGCAGCAGAGCAATACAATAGACACAACCTGAGTGCCTGATATCACCGAGCAACATACTAGCCCCCTACCACACACCTGAGCTTTCATGTGCCAAAGAAAGAAACTTTGATCTTGTTTCGGTCACTGTTCTGTTAGGTTTCCTAACACTTGAGGCCAAAATTAATCCAATGCGGGGCGACTGGGTGGCTCAGTCAGTTAAGCGTCCGACTTCGGCTTAGGTCATGATCTCACGGTTCGTGGGTTCCAGCCCCGTGTCGGGCTCTGTGCTGCTGACAGCTCGGAGCCTAAAGCCTGCTTCTGATTCTGTGTCTCCTTCTCTCTCTCTGCCCCTCCCCAGCTTGCGCTCTGTCTCTCTGTCTCTCAAAAATAAATACATGTAAAAAAAAAATTAATCCAATGCAAGTCAGTTGAACTGAGTAAGGAAAAAAGTAAACCAGGAGGGGCTGATAAAGGATCAGAGACTAGAGGTTTGATCTTGAAGGACATAAAGCAGGTTTCTCAGGCAAGCAGCACAGTTCTCAGAGAAAGGTAGTTAAATTCTACCAATACCAATAACAACAACAACGGCAGCTCATCATGAATTGGGAATTGAAGTTGAGATAAGCACTCACTGTGCTACGCCAAGTGTCTTCTGTAATCATTTCATTCAACTCTCCCCAAATCCCAAAGAGGTAAGTACCATAATTAGCCTTAATTTAAATTTTATTCATTTATTTAGAGACAGAGCCCAATGCCAGGCTCAATGTCACGAACCATGAGATCATGACCTGAGCTGAAACCAAGAGTCAGACACTCAATCTACTGAACCACCCTGGCACCCCTATTAGCCTTAACTTGATAACAAAATGAAAATAAAGACTCAGAGAAGTTGAATAATTTACTCAAAATACTCAGCCACAAAGTGGTGCTTGGAATTTGATTTAAGAGCCAGAGTATCTCCCCCTGCCCAAATCTTCCTCTGTCTCCCCTTACCTCACTTCATTCCCCTCCACCCCCAGCCTAGTCTCCAAAAGTGAAACAGAATAAAGAGCTCACCTGCAGCCACTCTCCCTGGAGAAGGAATGAGAACTCCACCCATATCAAAAATCACCGCTCTGTAGGGGCCGCCTCCAGAATGTGTCCAGTGCCTGGCTCCCTGGTGCTTGCCCTGGATGTGCTTCAGGAAGGCTGCCCTCCGAGGCTGCTGGAGTTGTGACAACTGGAAGAGCCATCTTATGTACATGTTGAGGCCAAGACTGCAGGAGAAGACACAGGGCACAGCTCGCCTTCGTTGCCCCCAGTCCAGTCCACCATCTTAGAGCTCAGGTGTGCCAACTTGGCATCTCCACTGATCTCCAGCAAACACTTCAAACCACAACCAGAACTGAACCCTCCCTGACTCCTCCTTTTTCTCAGTTCCTTAGCTCAGTAAAGGGCTCCACCATTCAGCTACCTGCTCAAGCTAGAAAACTGGGATTCACCCCTGACTTCTCCCAGTCCCCCACCTGGGGCGAAACTAGATGCTCTGTGCTGTCAACTCTTCCTCCTGAAAGCCGCTGTCTACCTCTCTCCACTTACTACCCACCGATGAACTTGCCCACAGATCATTGCAACAGCTTAACAGGTTCCCCTGCCTCTTCTTAAACCCCCTCTTCATTCTTCACCCTTCAAACAGAGTAAGAGTGCTCTTTCAAAACTGTAAGAGTGCTCTTTCAAAACTGTAAATGTGGCCATCTCCTAATGCCACTTAAAATTTTCAATGGTAGTGGAGCACCTGGGTGGCTCAGTCAGTTGCACATCTGACTTTGGCTCGGGTCACGATCTCGCACTCTGTGAGTTCAAGCCCCACATGGGGCTCTGTGCTGACAGCTCAGAGCCTGGAGCCTGCTTTGAATTCTGTGTCTCCCTCTCTCTTCCTCCCCGCTCACACTCTGTCTCTCTCTCAAAAATAAAGATTAAAAAAATTTTTTTAAGAAAATAAAAATTTCAATGGCAGGATGCCTGGGTGGCTCAGTCGATTAAGCGTCCAACTCTTGATTTCAGCTCAGGTCATGATCTCACAACCATGAGATCGAGCCCTGCATTGGGCTCTACACTGATCGTGAAGCCTGCTTGGGATTTTCTCTCCTCTCTCTCTCTCTCTCAAAATAAATAAACATTAAAAAAATAAATACATAAAATAACATTTTCAGTGGCTCCCCCACTGCCCTCAAGACAAACTCTTTAACCTTCCTCAAGAGGCCCTCTAGATCTGCCCCTGACTTTGGGTAGCAACTCTCTTTTAACCTTAATCCAGATGATGTGGACATGCAAATCTACATGCCGCTTCCTCAGACCCATGATGTTCTCCTCCAGCTACCACACCTTGGCCTATGCTGCTTCCTTGCCCTGGGCTGCTCCTTTCCACCTGTTACCTGGCTAATTCCAAATTGTCCTTTAGGCTCTAGTTTACCTATCACTTCATGAAACCTCTTCTGGCTAGCAGAAAAGACAGATGAGAAGTCAGTAAAAGGATACCCAGTACTGACCTCCTCCTAGCACTTATGGTGCCTCCATCACTCCAGCAGCCCTCCTACACTTCGCTGCAACAGGCTAACTGTTCTCCATTTGCCTCTTTTTTAAATGTTTTATTTATTTTTGAGAGAGTGCAAGCGGGGGAGAAGCAGAGAGAGAGAGAGGGACAGAGGATTTGAAGCAGGCTCTGTGCTGACAGCAGCAAGCCCAATGTGGGGCTTGAACTTACGAACCACAAGATAATGACGTGAGGTTAAGTCAGATGCTCAACGGACTGAACCACCCAGGAGCCCCCATTTGCTTCTTTTCTAAACGTACTGTCAAAAAGTTCGGGGTGGGGGGAATCATATACATATAACACATACATATGTATATAGACTTACACATATATAGGTATAGAGATAATCCAAATATGGCAAAATGTTATTAGTCTATTTAGGTGAAAGGCAGATGATGAAAAGCATATGAGAGGTCACTCTTATATACCATCTAGACACAGTGTAATATTCTTTCAACTTTTCTGTATGTCTGAAATAAAAAGCTAGGGTAAAAAAATAATTAAAGCAGGGGCGCCTGGGTGGCTCAGTTGGTTAAGCGTCCGACTTCGGCTCAGGTCGTGATCTCACGGTTCGTGGGTTCGAGCCCCGCATCAGGCTCTGTGCTGACAGCTCAGAGCCTGGAGCCTGTTTCAGATTCTGTGTCTCCCTCTCTCTCTGCCCCTCCCCCACTTGCACTCTGTCTCTCTCTGTCTCAAAAATAAATAAACATTAAAAAGAAATTTTTTTTTTAATAATTAAAGCAAATTCTATTTGCTGTCAGTTTCTCATGAAAATGTTTACACTTTTTGTGCGTATGCTTTTTCTATCATTTAAAAGCTTATTAAAAACGTTGGTAAGACAGTCTGTAAATTTACGGGAGCCACTTCAGTGCCTCCATAAGGATTCAACAAGCTATGTAAGACTCTAAAGAGAGGATTCTTAAGCAGTAAATCTTCAAGATGATACAATGTGTTTTTCCTGTAACTGGACATTTGCTGAACTGGGGGTGGGGGGTGGAATTTTGAAATGAAAAACTTAAAGATTGATTTGCATTTTCAGTTTTACTTATGTTCCTATGCCAAGGCCAAAGTTTATGATGGAAGGAGTTTATTTATAGGCTACTAAAAGCGTCAAAACGTTTTGTGTCAGGGCTTAACAGAGATGAAAAGTGTCTCTGGGGCCTGAAGGGCTGACTTTCATCTTAACTGAGGATACTAATGGATGAATGGGCAATGCTCCCATGACCAGCTTGCTTATTCCTTCCAACTAGAGATGATGGTTCTGTCCTAGCCACTTCCCAACACTCTCTTCAGAGCAGCAAAACACTGATTTCTGATCCCTCCAGGCTGTGGTACCTGTCCACTGACTGTAACATCTCTCCCTGCTTCATCTGCCGGTAAACTTCCACTGATTTTTACCTCACAGCCTCAGTTTTACCTTTACCTCCTCTGCAGAGGCTTTTCTTTTCTTTTAAAAATTTTTCTTTTTTTAAGTAGGCTCCACACTCAACGTGGAGCTTGAACTCAAGAATCTCACGTTCTACCGGCTGAGCCAGTCAGGCACCCCGGGAGCTTTTTTCTTTTCCCAGGCACTCTCTGGCACTAATTTTTTTTTTTTTTTTTTTAAACTCGTATTGCTTCTTCTCCATACCTTCACCAGAGCATTTACCCCATTACACAGCAACTGTTTGCACACCTATCTGCTCCTGTAATTGTAAGCTTCTTAGGCAAGGCGTATCTTGCCGTTTCATCTTTGTACATATTTCATCCTTGTGTATATCCATCCCCTGGGGCTTAGCACAGCATCTAGACACATAGCAGGTGCCCAGCATAAATGAGCTGGAAGAATGAATAAACTGGATGAATCAGAGAATTGGGGAAGGCAGGGGACAGGTTTCACGGCCGATAGCCACAAAGAACTGTTACAAGCCCAACTTGCCCATTGCTAACTAACGATTCTAGTTCTCTGGGACTGGCATCTTTTTTCTGTAACACGGAGAGTATTTGTCTTCTCCGTGACTTTCAGGACAATGAGATTAGTATGATAATGTAGATTTGCTACTTAATTTATGCTTTTATAAACATGCACACACACTATGTGTTGTCACATGCTAAGATGGTTTAGTAAAGAGGCTTGAGTGTTGGCTTTAGAATCAGATTGCCTGGGTATGAATTCTAGCTCAGCCACTTACTAAGTGTAAGAGCCTGAGCCAGTTTCTCTTGCTGGGATTCAGGTTCCTCCTCTGTAAATGGGAATAATTATACAACGGTTTCATACAGTTGTTGTTACTACTGCATGAAATAAAGTATGTAAAGCACTCAAGTTAGTACCTGACACACTATTATCTACTACTGTAATAATTATAAAAAGTCCACAGATCTTGCATGTTATATGCATATACTATGTGAATACATATATGCATTTTCACAGCAATTCTTAACAGGGGGTGATTTTGGTCCTAAGGGAACATTTGGCAATGTACCCAGACATTGTGAGTTGTCACCACTTGTGGGGGGGGAAGTGCTAGTGGGTCAAGACAAGGATGCCAGCAAACATCCTATAAAGTATAGGACACACACACACACACACACACACACCACAAAAAATGATCAGGACTCAAAATGTTAATAGTGCAAAGATTGAGAAACCCTGACATAGTATATTGAAAGATGACAGCGTGCAGTCACAAGCTAATAGACATATGTCATGTGGTCATGTTATATGCATATATCGTTCACGTCCCTACATGTGTCCAGGACATGCTGTGACACATCTTAGATGTCTTTATAGCATACGCTTGGAATAGCATTCTGTCATGTATGTGCTATGTAGGTCTGTATGTCTTAATGTCTATATGCTAAAGGCAGTCTGACGTACTGGAAAACAAAGATGAATCTAAGAAAAGTGATAAAGAGCCACAGGCTCTATTCATTTAATACTCACGGCTGCGTAATATCCTAGTTTTACGCAACACCTAGCTCAAGGTCACACAACTCACTGATCAAGGTCGACTCCATAACAGGAACTATTTGTGTTTATCTTATTCACGAAAATATCCCATTACCCCACCAGTGCTTAGGCTCTCAGTAAACATTTGTGAAGTGATGCGGCGGAGAGTCGGGCCCAGATCTAGCTCCAGCACCGCGCGCGTAACCAGGCCACCGCCCTAGACAGAGTCAGAAACACTGCAATCGAGTCCCTATTCCTCAAGCGCCTTCAGAGAAACGGATTCACCTCTCTGAGCTTTAGCATACCTATCTGTAACGTGTGGCTAACACAAAACAACTCCACTAGCGCTAGAGCGAGTGGTGAAACATAACAAAGGCAAGAGCTCGCCATATGGCTAACAGTTCCTCAGACAATTCGGAAAGCTCGCGGAGCCGAGGACCCCTCGCCGTCGGCTGAAGTAGGCTGAGGGCAATGCCTCTCGCGTAGGTAAACTCGGGCCTGGGCGCAAACCCACCGATCGGCCTAACGCGGCAGCCACTGCCCTCAGTCTTCGGAACGTTCCTCCTTCCCAACCTCTTCGAGATCTCCCCCGGAGCGCAGACTCACCTCCGCGCCGTCACGCCAGTCACGTGCCCGCTTCCCCATCCAATCGGAGCGCGCGCTGATCCGCGCATGCGTAACCCCGCGGGTCGACGACGGCAGCCGGGAGGCGGAAGTGAAGGTTGTTGTGGCTCGGCTGGTTGCGCGCGGAGCTGCTGCTACCGAGGCAGCGGCGCCGGCGCTGAGGCGGTGCCTGCGCTGCCGACTCTGGACCTCTTGGCCTCTCGGCTCGCCTCCTAGCCTCGCCTGAGCCCGCCGGGGCCCGCGCCGGCCAGCGCCTGCCCTATGAGTGTGTCACTGGTTGTCATCCGACTGGAGCTTGCGGAACACTCGCCCGTCCCCGCCGGCTTCGGCTTCAGCGCCGCGGGTGAGTCCCGCGGTCTCGCAGCCTTCCGTCTAGCCCCGGGGAAAGGCGGTGGCGAGGGTCTTTGTCTCAGGAAGAAGCTGAGAGGTGGTTGAGATTCCTCTTACTCCACCCATGCTAAATAGGCCGGATGTCATCTCTGGGAAGCCCTTCCCGGCCCATCCCTCCTGGTGCCTTCCCACGGGCACCCTTTATACCTGGCACGTCGCCCTCTCCATCCGGGGTTAGAGTCAAGTTTTGTAAGTTACTTTCCTCTAGGCTTTGTGAAGGCAGCGACTGCATCCCAGAGATGCTGACGGTTTGTGGTTTAATTAAATCGTTCCTCTTTGGAAGGATATCGATTTAGGCGCCCTGCAGCCATAGTAATAACTAAAATGAGTACACTTCCTATGTCCCCGCACTGTACTAAGCACCTTGTATGTGTTATCTTTAATTATCTGTACAACAGTCCTGTTACGTAGATGGGTGGTATGCCCCTTTTACAGATTGGGAAACTGAAGCCCAGTGGTTGAATGACTTGCCCACAATTATCTGTAGGTGGTAAAACTGGGATTCTAACTTAGAGCTGGACTTGAGAGTCTGAGCTGTTCGTTACCAGCCACACAGTCTGCTTCGTGGCGAATGCAACTATGACTGCGTTTCTTGAACCTTAAGCAATTACCTAACAGTAACAGTTATTCAAGAAGAAATCACTGAATGCTCACCATCTGCTGGAACTTTAGTTGTTTGCAGAATCAGACATGGTCCCTGCTGTAATGGCTCCGGCAGCTCAATGGGGAGAGATGAATTAAATAATTGCAGAATTATAGTACTGCAGAATTATTATTAAGTAATTGTAGAATTACAAGTGGGAAAACAGCTGTGAAGGAAAGGAAGAGTTTGGAAAGGTATTACACGAGGATCTCTTTGGTTTGAGGAGGGGACATAGGGCAGGTAGGTATGGTGTCCTTGGAAACTAACTTGAGTGTGTGAATTTTGGAGCTGCAATTTAAAAATTGAATAAGATTTAATGGGTTACAAGCACCTTTCAAAGACTACAAGTGATCTGAGTTCTGAAAGTCAGCTTAATTGATATTAGGCACATATACATCTCTAAATGGGTTAGTCATTGATTCAGCAAAACTTTAAAGAGCTTGCACTGTGTGCTAGGCACTGTCGTGTAAGTGCTGGGGATACAGTGGTGGGCTAAACAGGCCTGGCTCCTGCTCTGATAGAATTTGTATTAAGGATATTTCAATCGAGTCTCCCAAGCTCCTTTCCCATTTTTGTGTGTTTCATTGATTTAAGACCGTGATCACAGATTTTCATGGTATGATGCATGGCATGAGGCTAACTTAGGGTGTTTAAGAAGACTACTGCTAAAGGTTTTTGAAATTTTTGTTTATTAATGGACTTGATACCTTCATTTGGAGCTCAACACAGTTTCACTTTACCGGAGATTACTAAAAGTGTTGGTTTGTCTTGGCATAATCACTCTTGAACTCTCTAAAGCTCCTGTTCTTGTTGATATGCTTTAAAGTGCATGATTTCACTATGACAACCCTGCATTTCTCAATTTATTGCACTGGGAGTTTATTGACTGTCTGCTGGGCACTAAGGAGCCCCAGAGGTGAGTGGGATGGAAACCACAAAGGCATCTGAATATCTTGGGGGAGGGCAGCAGAGAGGAAAAGGAAAGTTTTTGATGGATACATTGAAAGTGGAGAAGAGCTTGTTTTATTATCGGATATTAATCATTCATGTGTTCTTTAGCCGGGGAAATGTCTGATGAGGAGATCAAAAAGAAGACACTAGCTTCAGCTGTAGCCTCTTTAGAAGGGAAGTCACCAGGGGAAAAAGCAGCAATCATACATCAGCATCTTGGTCGTCGAGAAATGACAGATATGATCATTGAGACCATGAAGTCCAACCCAGGTATGCTTTCTAAAACCCTAAACTCATGTAACATAAGCTCATGGTTGCCTGTTTTATACATGTCATTCAATGAGCCCATGATTTTGACCTCTAGCATACTTTTATCTTTCACTACCTGTGTGCCTTACTTGAGGTTGTCAAGCCAGATTTTAGCCTCTCCAAATATTTCTCCTAAATTAATACTAACAACATGGGTTGACAGCTTTATTTGGTGAGGAGAGCTACTTGCCATCTAGGTTAGTGGCAGATCACGAACGAATCTAGATAAGCATGTTGTGTCTCCCGCCCCCTGCACACGCCCTTTCAGCTCCCTCCAACCCAGAGCCTGGATGTATGCTACGTCTCCAGTATGAAGATGGTCAGAACTGGTAGGTTTGGTTTTCAAAATTAATAGCCCTGAATGTCCCACTTAGGAGCACATGATGGAAGACGCCTGCTTTTATTACGGTGCTGCCAAATGTAAGAGCCGTCCTTAAGTTTCTGTGGGTGTTAATGAAATTTTTATGCGATAAAGAGTGCTTTTAAGTTTAGGCGATCCCCCAAACTTGACTGTGGTGTAAATACATTTCTTACCGCAATTCATTACAGTTTCTCTGTCCAAGTTTATTTTTCTGACTCAAAATTTTAACCTAATTAGAATCCTTCCACCTATTTCCTATCAGTTTATAATCTGCTAATTTTTGATTTGTGAAAGATGAGCTGAAAGCCACAATGGAAGAAAGGAAGTCTTCAGAAGCATCTCTCACTGCACAGAGAAGTAAAGATCAAAGTATAGAATGCATAAACGCTGCTCCCGATTCTCCATCCAAACAGCTTCCAGACCAGATTTCGTTCTTTAGTGGAAACCCATCAGTTGAAATAGTTCATGGTATTATGCATCTATACAAGACAAAGTAAGAAAAAACCTTTTCCTTTTGAGTTGGTCTGTTTTTTGTCTTAGGGCAGTGAAAAATGTCTTGCCCTGAAGGGAAGTGGATACTTTAAGGTTCAAAAGCATAGTACTTTCATATATTGTGTATTAGAGAATTCTTAGATGTTTTATATTTGGTTAATCTTATAGATTGGGTCATAGTTTCTTCTCATAGAAGAAATATGTAGATACACTTGAGAAAATACTTAAGAAAATATTCCCTGAGAAGGTAGGCATGCAAGATGATTGGAAAATTGAAAGAAAGAAAGATAAAAAGAGGAAGAAAAATTATAAATGATTCATAACATCATTGTGCCCTCCTATCCCCACCAAATCTTTACTAAAGAAGTTGATAAGTCAGTTAATGGATTACAATGTCATCATCTCTTTTTACCCTTTTTTTGTCGTCCAAACAAAACATATAACAAGCCAAAGGAAAGGAAGCATTTGGCTAGATAATCAATAATCTGGGTTATCAGCCCCTTGGATAATTGGTAGCTGATCTCTTTAAAGCCTGTCCTTGTCCTAACGTGTTTGCTAGGTCCCCACTGGGAGACAGTGGACACTTGGGTCACCATTTTGGAGCACAGCTGTTGAAGTGAATTTGCAGCATTTCAGAAGCAAATTGCATTGCAGGAGGTTTTTTTCTTTTCCTCTCTTCCAGCTCTTCCTACCCAACAACACTTTCTGTAATCTTCAGAGTCACGTCTTCCTAGTTCTGAATTCTTTCTTACATTTAGAACTCTCTTCTCTTCTAAACCCCTTGAGAGAAGTCCATAGTTGGAGTTGCCCATTAGCTTGTAGATTGAAACTTACTCTGGCCACCTCTCTTCCTTCGTGGGGGCAGTTCTCTTTAACTTCCAGAATAGTGATTTTAAAATTTAAAAATGAAGAAGAAAAGAAAAACAGAGTTGTGCTTCTAAGTTACCTAATGAAAGATTATTGTTGAAAAGCTAATGAGAATAAAACACAAACTGCAGATTTATAAGCGTAACAAGCTTTTAACTGAAGACTAAAAATTTCAGTGGTGGATGTAATACAGGCCATTTCAAAGCTTACCGTAAGCTCTATTGCAGGTATGTTGAAGGGATTCTGCTTTTACCCTGGTCGTGTGTTTTCAGGTATTATAACACTCTGTTTAAATTGATCCGTGAACTAATACAAGATTTATTTTTTTCTATTTTCTTGGACATAAAAGTTGTCTAATTAGTGTTGTCTGAACTAACCATACCTCGTCTATTCAAGACAGTCTAATTATTGTCTTATTAGTAAGATGACCTCCTTAAAAGAAGATGTGAGGCGCAGTGCCATGCTGTGTATTCTCACAGTCCCTGCTACAATGACCAGTCATGACCTTATGAAGTTTGTCGCCCCATTTAATGAAGTAATTGAACAAATGAAAATCATCAGAGACTCTACTCCAAATCAATATATGGTGCTGATAAAGTTTAGTGCACAGGTAAAAGTTAAGATATTAAAAATCTCTTTGCCACAGAAACTGTGTTTTTGAAACTGTGTGATACTAGCCGTGTGTGATTTACAGCATTTTGCACTTAAGACTCTTGATATATACCTATCTTTGAGGGTATTGTTGTCATTCTAGAAATCCTTCTAAATTCATTAGCAGACACACAATGCTAATTCATACCCATAATTTTTTATAGAGCGGATTGGGTATGAAATCTAGGGTTGTATTTTATTTATCCAGTAGTAACTATTCCAGTAGAGCAGTAGATCCCAAACTTTTTGAAACTGATACCATATTCTTATTTGCCACTATGACACTGTGCCCCTGCTTTTTTCATTCCCCTTTTAAAAATTATTTGGCACATTTTAGAAAATAAAATCCATTTTATATTTATGTTGGTGACAGATTTGGGGATGTTCCTTGAAGTATCAAAGATGCTTTAGAGTTCTGCTTGAAAATCACTGCCACAGAGAGAAGCAGTGAAAGGATGGTGATATTTTTTGTTTTGAAAAGTACTTGCACATTATTACAGATTTCATTTGTTGCATTCAGCAACATTTTCCGGGGGCCATAGTTATAAAGGTGTTGGGAAAATATTCTCTTGGTTTTATATGTTCATTGTGAAGCGTATGCATTCATATTTGTATGAATATGAAAATAAGATAAGCTTTAGGTATTATCCAAGTTATGTAAGTGCCATCCTATCCATAGGTTTTAATTTGTTGTTGTTGTTTTTAATGGCTGTTACATTTGTCCATTCATTAGGTTTAGAAATGCAGCTCTGTCAAAAGTTACTTCTTTCTCACCTCATTAGGAAACAGCCTTCTTGAATTTGCCCCAGATCAACAGTTCTGGCTTACAGATTGACAAAGAGTGGGTGTGCCTTTTGATCATTTGCCATTGCCTCTGACCAGTTACCAAGATCTGTGGGTGAAAGGGAGCCGTGACACGAGGCCCACTTGTCCTCTCCTTCCTCATTGCAGAAATCCAGAGTTGACGGCAGTAGCAGTCATTCGTTGGCCATGGGGAGGAAATTAAGAGAAGTGAGGGCTGGATTATGTTTGGGCCTGTTCTGTGGGCCACAGAAAGAGAACCCTTAGTGTAGCACTCTGTGTACAAGAGGGTACGTGATTGTTACCTTTAACCTTTACAGAATACCCTACCATTGAAGTGAGACATTTAAAATAATGAACCTTCCTGCATGCAGACTTAGACTTCACAAGGTGACAGTGAAAATGGAAAAGCACTTAAACAGCTGTGTTCACTGACTGTCGGGAGACCTTCTGTGGGCACTGAGGAGCTTTGCAAACAGTGGGCAAGTGGTACCTTTTAAATCTGGTAGCACATGTAATACGAAGGATAATGCTGATAATGTGCAGTCTTACTGACTGCTTAATTCTACACCACTCGTTGCACCAAGTGCTTAACGTGTATTATCTCCTGTAGTCCTCACTACAGCCCTGTGAAGCAGATAAGTACTGTTATTATCCTTGTTTGACAAACGAAACTGACTGCAGAGAGAAGTTAGTAGATTGCCCCCAGTGACTGAACTGAGATTTGGGGCCTCGCTTTAATCCTAGGGCATATGCTTCTTCCAGTAGGACTGGATGAAAGTGTGGGGAAAGGGAGATAGTCACTGTTGGTAAGAAATTGTAATGGCAATATTTTAGTTATAGCTCCTACTTAACAATTGAGGGAGATCGGCAAGTAACACAGGAAAAGTCACCGATTGGGGAAGAACGTTTAAGAGCTTTATTAGACCTTTTAAATAGTCTGAAGTCTGATAAACCCACAAACTATAGCAAGGGCCACCCCTTTGTGGTGTGCAGGTAATGCTGTGGAAAGTTTCCACTACTGTTAATGGATTTCTTTGTACTTCTGCAGTCTCTCCACCTGTCTTTTAACCAGATTTGGTGGCCCAAGTTCACGGTTATTAGTTCTGAGACAAATGAAACAGTGTGCTGGCCCTTCCCCATGGAGATAGTACCCTTGATCTGAGAATCATGAGTTGTACTGTTTATTGCTGATGTTGGATCTTAGGGTCTGAGGCTCATCCTATCAGGGATTTTCTGAGTTCTAAAAACACTTTCCTGGTATAAGACTTGAAGTTGTTAAATTAATACTGGGCCCTAGTGAAAAAAACAGTCAAAAGGTAAAAACTATTAAGCACTTACTAGATGCCAGGCCACATAAGTGGTTTTCACATATTAGCTCCTTGTCCTCTCAACAATGCTATGAGCTAGGTGTTGTTAGTTTCATCTTTTATAATTGAGGAAACACACATGGATAAGTCACTTGCCCAAAGCCAATTAAGTGTCAGGAGTTAGATTTCAAACACAGACAGCCAGACTCTGTAGCCTGGGAAGCTAACTGTATTCTTATTCCTTTCTTTTTCTCACCAGAGAATTTTTGGGGTTTTTTTCACCAGAGAATTTTTAAAAAGAGTAATCCTCTGTATCTCCTATAAGCTCTTGAACTTCTTTTGGCCTCAGCTTTATGCTGTAGTTCTAGAGTGATAACGTTTACGTGGTTGTACCGTGACGGTCAGAAAACTTAGTCTTCGGGTAAGGAATTTGTAATTCATCAGAACACAGGAAGGCTGGAGGGGGTCAAGTTTTGTAGTGCCTGAGGACCGAAAAGGAGAGAGAAGCCCTCTGTAGAGTGTGTTGGCTCACTTTCATTTGCATGCTTGGGACGGCCTAGGAGACCCATCTTTTGAGAAGCAAAAATATATTTTCCACACTATGGTTTTGATCACTGTGACAGTAAAGGAACCTTGATCATAATGGGTTTTTCTTTTTCAAAGTTTATCCTGGGAAGAGAACAATTAGAACAAAAGACTCAAAAAAAAAAAAAAAATCAACAAACCCAAACTGGGCTTCTTAAAAATGTTGGGCTCTATACAATGCAAGCATTTTATTTTTTTTATTTATTTTTTTTTTTTTTTAATTTTTTTTTTCAACGTTTTTTATTTATTTTTGGAACAGAGAGAGACAAAGCATGAACGGGGGAGGGGCAGAGAGAGAGGGAGACACAGAATCGGAAACAGGCTCCAGGCTCCGAGCCATCAGCCCAGAGCCCGACGCGGGGCTCGAACTCACGGACCGCGAGATCGTGACCTGGCTGAAGTCGGACGCTTAACCGACTGCGCCACCCAGGCGCCCCAATGCAAGCATTTTAAATAAAAGAGCTGTTTCTTCTGTGTTTTTTGCAGTTAGTTTCAGGCTTTTGTTTTGTGCCTTTCAGCGGTGGGCTGAAGTAGGAACCATGTGTATTTTGTTCTTTACTCTGGTCCTAGCACATAGCACCGTGCCTGGCACATGCTGGGTGCTTAGTGAATATTCAAACGAGCGAAGCTACATTTCCAATACCGAGATTTTAAAGAAAGAGATCTATGTGTTCAAAACATATATTTCCTTGTCATGGATACACAACTCCCTCAAGAAAAGAATCGCCTGTCTGGTGTTAAGTAGATTTTGTCACATGCTCACAAACTGACCCTTCCTCTGAGAAAGCTCGGTCACGTAGCAAGCATTCACAGAGCTGGAGGTCTGAGGAGGAGTCTGCCTTTCCTCAGCTGGCACACGTGTAGCCAGCTCCTGGTGGTGCTTGAGGCCCTGGAAAGCTGACCTGTGGCCCTCACTTTCAGTGGTCACTTCCCTCAGTACACAAATCCAATTGCTCACTGTGCTGCTTACTCATCCAAAGCATTTGAAGAAAAAGACGTTGCTCTTGAAGAACGGGGGAAGCCATTTTAGGTTGCCTCTTAGTAGTTAAGAGATTTATTGTCCAAGAACCGGCTCTTAACATTTTGAAGTTAGGGGCACCCGGTGGCTCAGTCAGTTAAGCATCTGACTTGGGCTCAGGTCATGATCTCACGGGTCGTGAGTTCAGGCCCCACATTTGGCTCTGTGCTGACAGCTCAGAGCCTTTAAAAAAAAAATTTTTTTTTTTTTGAAGTTAAAATGCACTGTACCCAATACAGTTGTTTCCTGAAAAGGAAGCTCCCACTCCCGCCCTCCAAAAAAAATCAAAATCTGTGTTCAGAATTGATTATCCTTCCTCAGCTGCTTAGTTCATTTGGTCATATTAAGAAAACATAAATAATCAAGAATCCACACTTGAGTTACATCATTGGAGTGAAATTAAAAGGTGCCAAGAAGCTTGCAATCTTTTGCTATAAGGTTCAGAATCCTATGAAGGTAGACAGGCAAGACTCTTGCCTGGTACAGACTTGAATCTCATCCTAGAGGCTGACAAAGTGGCATTTCCTTTTGTAGGACAACTCCCCCCGCCCTGCGTACTTGTCTACATTGGTAGGGCCAAAGCACACAACTTCCTGTGTTTGGGTTAATGCCTGTGTGGGAGTAAGATCTAGACAAACCTCGGCCTTTCAGATGCCTCTAAAAATTGCTGTGTTTAAAAACGGAAATTATGTCTTTGTTATTTTCTGTTAAGGCTACACTAGAAGGTTTGGTTTACTTGTGTTCATATTCACAAATGCACAGGTGCCTTTGCAGCCTTACCTACAGGGGACTGTTTCCCCTGAGTCTATCTTCCGCCTCAAGGAATAAGACCATTTGTATTTTAAAGACTGGTTCATCTTAAACCCCTTGATCTTGGTCAAAGGTTTTGCTTTCAATATTATACACTAGGTTGTTTAAAACCTCCCAATGGGATCCTTATCTATGATGTATTATTGGCTTATTGAAGAGAAGGAGTTGGCTTTTTCCTCCATACCAGTACCTGTGGTCCTTTACTCTCCCTAACATAGATGCTGACGTTTTTTTAAAAAGAACGCTTTGCTAACAATCATCAGTTATGATTGAGTTCTAAGTTTTGCAAAAATAAGTGTTTGCTTTTAGCTGCTGAGAAAGTCTTGACTTGAGGAAAAAAATACTGATATCAAGGGAAATGATGACTGTTGTTGGTTGAATATTAAAGTCTTACTGGCTGTCAGCTTTTGCACTTCAGCAGCTTCTGCTGGTTTAAGTGAGATTGTGATGTATCAGGAAACATTGTAGAGACGCGGGATATTGACCTACACAGTTTGACTCACCTATGAACCTGCTTCCGTAGATGGTACTTTTGACAGTTGCTTTCTCTCCTAAGTATAAATTTTAAACGCTGATGAAGAAAATAATTGAAGCTATGCATCTTGAATAAAAGCATGTTTTCAGGATATCTCTCAATTTTTTCCTTTTCTCCATTGGTATACCTAGGCCGACGCAGATAGTTTTTATATGGCGTGCAACGGCCGCCAGTTCAACTCGATAGAAGATGATGTTTGCCAGTTGGTGTATGTGGAAAGGGCTGAAGTACTAAAATCTGAAGATGTAAGTGTGCATCATTCTTATATTTTGCATATATGTTTTATACAAGAATATATATATATGAGAAGGTATATAACATATATACGTGTATAGATATATAGATATGGATATAGGTATAGATATATATGGGGAAAGAGAGGAATGAAGAGTGATTGCAATGAGTACAAGGTTTCTTTTTAGGGTGATAGGAATGTTCTAAAGTGTTTTTCTTCAAATATCAACCCTTAATCCCTGTCCTGATCCTTAACTCTGTTTAGGTAACAATTTGTAATTGCTCTGGTTTGCCATCGTCTGTGGGACCTCTTCCTACAAAATGTGCTCAGCTCACTTAAATCATCTTCTAAAGAAAGTAGATTCAACTCTGTTATATTTTTAAGATTTCCTTTCTTTTAAAGGAGACCTAAAGGTCTTTTTACCTTGAAATCAGCTTGATAGAAAGAAATTCAGGTTTGATTGTTCTATCATTAGGTTAGGTAAAATAAAAATTGACTGATGATAAAGTCAGGCTTCCTTTGTGCCAGGTGCTATGTAAGGCTTCAGTTTAGGAGATTGTTTTCTCTAAATGAATACGGCTTCTTGAGAGATTTCCTATAGAAAGCTACTCTTCAGGGACCATAGATTAATGTGATTTTTCTCAGCATGTCCTTACATGTATGTCTCATCTTTGCTTCAAGAATTCCTGCTCACTTTACAGCTGGCAGGGCTCAAGGGAGACATTGCGGTGGCGGGGGTGGGGGTGGGGTGCGTTTCTTGACCACAGACTGTTATGCCCCCGATTTCACACCCTATTATAGATTCCTGTACTTTTCTTACATAGCACTTATGACCACTGGTCATTAACTTTTTCATAAATTTGACTTTTGCCTCTCTACCAGATTTTAAGCTCTATGAGGACAAGGCCTGACCTTGTGCTTTGGGATCTGGCGAATCTGCTTTGCTCACCATTGTTCCAAACCTAGAACAGTGTCTGGCCTACATAGCAAGGACTCAATAAGTGTGTGTCAAATGAATAAATAAACCAGTGTTGTTGATGCTATTATCACGTAGTAGGAAGTGCTACGTTTTCATTTACTCTGTGGAAAAATCAGTCAGTCCCATTTCTACTTGGCTGCTTTTATTCACTTACGTTGTTAGAGTTCCATACCCTTAGAAGTAGAGCTTGGAGTCTGGTAACATTTGAGATTCTCTGTTAAGCTTTTGGCAGCTAGTCTCTCTTTCCAGAGTATCAGCTCCATGAGGGCAGGGGTCTTTGTGTGCTTGTTCTCCACCATGTCCACAGTGCTATGAGTATAAAGGGTGCTCAGTCAATATTTGTTGTATGAATGAAAATCTTACCGATTTAAACTACTTGCACAGAGAAGAAATGTTGAAAACATCCTACCAGGAGTCAGAAAGCAACAGGTAAACTAGTTAGTCAAAAACAGATCTCTTAGGACTGTGGAGGAAGAGTCAGGCTTATGTGAGGTATTTCCCTGTAGGGTGCCAGCCTCCCCGTGATGGACCTGACGGAGCTCCCCAAGTGCACGGTGTGTCTGGAGCGCATGGACGAGTCTGTGAATGGCATTCTCACCACGTTATGTAACCACAGCTTCCACAGCCAGTGCCTGCAGCGTTGGGACGACACCACGTGAGTGTAGAGCTAATTTCTCACCCTGCCAAAGCCTGTTACCACCCTTTCCCAGAATTAAAAACAGCCACCACCCAAAATGAGCCATTCTGAGTGCTTGACTTTATACAACTGGGCACTACAAAGGTGAAGGGGTCACACGGAAGGGCCTTCCATTTTTCTTCACTTTCCTCTGTTCACATGGGAATCAGCATCCTTAGACCACGTCCTTCTTAGTATGCTGATTCAGCATCCTTAGACCACGTCCTTCTTAGTATGCTGATTCAAAATCCTTGTGGAGTTTCCAAAAGCAGCATGAATTGTTTGCTTCCAAAAGCCAGAGAATGGGGGTGGGGGGGTGGGGTAGGAAAGCTTAGCTTTGAGGCTCTTATACACAAATGAAATCTAAGTCTGAAGTCTCATTTATCACTTGCACTTGATGTTTACCATTTCCTCTGGCTTTCTTACCAATTGGGCTATAGTAGTAGTCTCACATTTTCAATTTAGCGTGTTGTTGAGGGCTCAGTGGCCAGTGGTAATAGCAGACACTAAGTATGAAGCACACACATGCCACACCTTCCTGTTTCCCAGTGCAATAGAGGCCTTGTTTGTAGGGTGGCATAGCACAGGCAAAGAACTAAGGGGTAAGTTGTACCACGTTTTTTTGTTGCTTTGTTTTGTTCTGTTTTGTTTTATTATAAATCAAGGGTTGTTCCTCCCTTTGTAAACTGTGCTATGGGACTTAGCTAGATGAGTAAATCAGACAGTGGCCTGGGTTTCCCAGTAGAGAGAGGAAGGAAGGCACAGAATCCAATAATCGTACAAATGAATGTGCAGTCACAGCTGTAACAGGTGTTACAAAGGAGCAGTGTGCAGCGTTGTGACTAGGGAAGTAGAGCCCTGATAACAGCCAGGGCTGCCTGAGAAGTGCAGTCTCCAGGAGGATGAGGAGACGTTAACCAAGGAAAGAGGGGGACCTGAGAGAAGGCATTGTGAGGGCGGGGATGCGCATGGGAAGGGCAAGATCACATGGCAAAGCCCAGAAGTTAGGAAGGTGAACATGTAGAGGAATCTGTTCTCCACCCCCAAGTGACCAGAAGAATTCCAGCTTTCACAGAGCAGGGACCTTGTCTGGCTTGTTCACTGCTGTGCCCTTACCTAGCAGGAGACCTGGCGCATTGTAAGGAGCTCAGAAAATACCCTTGAGCAAATAAACCCTGGGTTTTCCCTTGAAAAAAGCCCCACTGAAATGGACGCACTCCATAAAGTATTTATCTGTATCTTGTGTCCTTGTGTCTGTCTGCTACACCGTTTAAGTTCTGGACGCTTCTTTGTTCCCTACCACTACAGTTCAACTCTCAGTGCAGGTTAACTGCCCCAGGAGCGTAGCATTTTAAAGTTAGAAGTTGGCTCAGGGACCATATTGTCCAGCCTCCTCATTTTACAGAGGAGGTAACTGAGACCCAGACATGAAACATAGCATGTTGAGAGCATCCTGCAGAGAAGGCCAGAACTGGGACTGGAATTCAGCCGTCTGTATAGACAAGCCTCACGGCTATCCTCAAAAACACACAGTTCTTTCAGCAAGTAAGTTTCTGCCCTCAGTATAATATGCACCGAATAGTGCTAGGGGTGGATGGGAGAGAATCAAACGTAGATCCTCCACAGGGAGTTTCAGCCAGCTAAGGGAGTTTACACCTGTGCATAAGTGCAATCCAATTCAAGGTAGAAACTGGAGAGAGTAGAGTTGGTTTCCCCACTGAGGGTGGCCGAGAAGGGCTGTGTGGAGAAGGCAGCATTGGTACCAAGTCTTGGAGGGTAGTTTTTTGACACACGCAGATGTCAGAGAAGGATATTCTGGGAAGGTTTCCCCAAATATCTCCTCAGGAAGATAAGATGACAACTCAAAAGTTATTTTTGAAGGGGAAGGAAGGGTTTAATAAACTGTTAATCATCTTTTAATCAATGAGATGGTATGTCATAGAATACTACATATATAATACCAGTAAGGTGATTTTTGTAATTTTTTTCCCTTTTCTCTTTTTAATTCTCAGGGATCATCCTTAACATTCCAGAAAGCTCATTCTGGCATAATGTAGGAAATAAGATTGCAGAATTAATTTATTGTTTAATTAAAAAAAATTTATCTATTTGAGAGAGAGAGAATGGG